ATGGTTCCTGATAATAAACCCACTGTTATTTGAATAGGTAAGGAATCATGGTTTTCTCATATTTTTAAAAGATTTTTTCTTTGTCTCTAGTTTTAAGAAGTTTGACTATGATGTGTCTTAGTGTGGGTTTCTTTGCCTTTACCCTCTATGAAGTTTGCTTAAGTTTTTGATATGCAGGTTTATAGATTTTGCCAGTGGAGCATGTTTTGCTATTATTTCTTGGAGTACTTTTTTAGCTCAGCCCTCTTTCTCCTCTCCTGAGGCTGATGACACAATGGTAGATTTTTTGTTATAGTCCCACAGGACTGCTCATAGTGTTTTGTTTTACTTTTGTTTTTGTGGTTCAGACTGAGTAACTTCTATTGCTGTCAAGTTCACAAATTTTTTTCATCTGTCCTATCCTGTCTGCTTGAAGCCTATCCATGGAGTTTTAAAGTTTTACTTATTGCATTTTCAGTTCTAAAATATTTCCATTTGGTTCATTTTTCTATCTTCTATTTCTTTCAAGACTTTTGCTTTTTAATTTGTTTCAAGCATGTTTGTAATTGCTCACTGACTCAGTTTTGTGATGGCTACTTTAACATCTTTCTCACATAATTCTAACATCTCTGACATCTTGGTGTTGGCATCTATTAATCATCTTTTCTCAGTTTGAGATCTTCTTGTTTCTTGGCATAGAGAGTTATTTTCCATTGAAACCAGGACATTTGGGGTATCATGTTTCCTTACCTTTGCCATCTTCTAGAAGCTGCCTGTATTCTCTGGCTTGTGATCCCTTCTTTCATCTACAAAGCCAGTAGTGTAGCATCTTCAAGTCCCTCTCTTGCTCTCTGTCATCTGCTTCTCTCACATCTCTTTTTCTCACTCTGATCCTTTTGCCTCCCTAATGAGACGCTCATGATTATACTGGGCTCACCTGGATAGTCCAGGATCCTCTCTTCATCTCAAGGTTCTTCACTTAATCACATCTACAAAGTCCTATCTGCCATGTAAATTAAAATATTTAAGAGTTCCAGGGATTAAGATGTGAACATCTTTGAGGCGCCTTTATTCATCCTACCATGAGGGCATATCATTATTTGTAGCTAAATTCATTTTTAAATGACTGACATTCCCACCAGAACATAAGTCCCACCATAAGAGGGAGACTTACTGGGACTATTTTTGTTGGGGGAGGGGGAGGTAATTAGGCTTATTTATTTATTTAATGGAGGTACTGGGGACTGAACCCAGGACCTCCTGCATGGTAAGTGTGTGCTCTGCCTCTGAGCTGTACCCTCCCCCTTGTTGGGATTGTTTACCAATATTTTCTCAGCTTCCTGCTAATGCAGTGATAATCATGTTTTCACAATTGCCACTGTTGAGAAGGAGGCAGCTTCATAAAATTCTGGGCTAGAGTATTCGGTAGAAGAAATAGCCCCAAGTAAAAGCCATCAGGCCAGAATACACTTTCAGTCATACTAGTAATACTGAATATAACATTCTATGTGACATAGCTCATTTAATTTCAATCTTCATAAACCATAAATTTGTTGATATATTGAACCCATTTGAAACACTATTTGGATCCTAATCCAAAACATAAATTGGTCAAACCCAGATGGTTTCTTTTCTTCACTCAATATGCTCCTCATTTTACTTTTTTATCTGTCTCTTCTTCTGAGCATAATCTGATTTTATCTCTGTGCCTTTTTTTTAAACTGTAATTTAACACATTTTTACTTAGTCTTAAATTAATATTAAAACATTATACAAGGAAGTTTTTTTTTTAAACCATGATCCATGATTCAAACTTTATTTTCTCTGGCAGCTCTGCATGCTTAAGATTGCAAACTTTGGAGTCACACGGTTTTATATTCACATCCTGGCTGTGAGACACTGGGCAAATTACTTAGACCTCTGCCTCAGTTCCCTCATCTGTAAAATGAAAATAAGAACTGCATGCAGTTTTCTATCAAAGCTATTGTACCTTATGCAGTTGTTGTGAGAATTAGATGAATTAACCTAATGTACTTAAAACAGTCTGGCACATAAGAACCCCCTCAATAACTGTCATAATTCTTATTTTCAACCATCAATTTTATTCCCACATAATTTTTATTTAGTTGTAATCATAAGATATGTAAAGCACTGTGCTCTACTTTTTTCATTTAATATTCATAAATTTTCTTCCACATTTCTATTTTTTTAACAGATACTATTTTTAATGACAATCTGTGATTCCATACCACTGATATATTTTGCTTAAACATTTCCTTATTATTGGACATTTGATTTATTATTATGAGTGATGATCTGTACACATACTTTGTATACGATGCTCTTTCTTTTGAATGATTTATTTAACAACTGTTCCCAGGAGTACAATTTCTGATTTTGTGTCCAACATTTAAAACTCTTTCCTTCTTTCTATTTAGCTCCGAAGAAGCAATTACTTTCAGTACATGATAGAAGGAGAGGCAGACATATCATACCACCACAACAATCTTCATAGAGGAATAGGCTTTCTGTACAAAACTGATAAAGTCTGCTTTATTAGCATCATTGTTGCAATCATTCATTCATTGAACATTTATTATTTACTTAGAATGGGCCAGGTCCCTGGGTAGGAAGAGTGTTACAAAAGGAAGCCAGAGATATACAAACAAGAATGGGAGATGCTCCAAATACAAAACACCACTTTACTTACAAACTTTTCACGTTGTGTGTGTCTTCTTTTGCACAACGTGGAATCTATTTGCAAGTTACAAAGAGACATTTTCTTTTCTCAAGGAACTAAAATTATGTCAGCCTGACACTGCTCACCTAAACATACATATCTTATACAAGCTGTGTGGATATCTAGCAAGAAGGGAGTTCCTGTCTCAAAGAAGTCATAAATGCCCTTTTTTCTGTACTTCAGTTTTAGTAAAATGAAGGGAGTAATAACATTCTTTAAATCTTCTTGGAGGAAGAGGGAGAAATCTTTCCAGGCCCACCACCAGATTCATTCTTTTGAAGAGGCCCAACATTGAAGTTTGAGTTACATAAGCCTAAATTGTGTATTCTGTTTTCCATTAAAGCTATTGTACATTTCACATAAGAAATAATACAGATTAAACTTTTTTTTAGCCTGCCACATCCTGAGTTCAGTTTTACACCTTTCATCAGTGTAGCTGAAGCTCTCTGACAGTCTCCTTTTCTTTCTGACATTCTCTCTCTTTCTAACAACACTCTGTTGAAAACTAATGTTAATTCTCTCCAAATGCTTTGGGGATGATATACAGGTGTTAACCACCTACTTAAACTGCTTGATAGGTAGTGTAAAAAATGCTTTCTTCAGGAAACAGTATAACGCTGTGGAAACTACCTCAATCATCACTGATAAAGAGTTACGTTGATCTAGATGTTTTGCTTACAGATCAGTACTCTCTCGTTTTCTTGAGAACTGAGTGACCATATAAGGCATTCTCTTCCCTTAATTTTAAACTTTATTAAGGGGTTATATGAGGATCTGGATTTGCTTCCCTTTCAATCAACCTTCATAAACTTTGAGAGCCTCATTTCCATTAAGTCGGAAATACGCGCCACCAAGAGTCACCAAGAGCAAGCCTAGGCAAAGTGAGCTGGAAATCGGTTCTTTTACTCATCACAATATCAGTTAGCCCCTTAAGACAGTGACTTTTACCTTTCTTGGGTCAATCAATTTGATGAAAGTTCTACGTTCTCTCACTTATACATATCATATGTGAGCATTTTTCTTGGGAGAAAACCAACTTTATTACCATAATTATATAATTTTTTCTCTCTCTCTCTCCACACACACACACATTTTTTTGCACCCTTTCAAAAGGTTTCTGACCTCTGCTCCCTCAAAAAACACCTACACTGGGGGAAATTATATTAACTAGTCAACTGGAGGCAGAAGAGACTGGGGTTGGGAGACCAGATCACAAAAGAGAAATTTTACTAGATTCATCCTGAGACAGGTCATTATACTCAGTGTGAGGAGGACAGTAAGTCATCAATATGCAAGAAGCCATTGCAGAGGTGAGAAGTGTCCTGACTAAAAGTAGGAGGTTGGAATTCGGGGCCTTCACCTGAGGGAGAGGATGTGGCATTAGAAAGGTTGGTTGGTCCCTCCCCCTCTCCCTTTCGCTAAGGAACTGTGTGACTTTAAGCAAATCATTAATCGGTAGATTTCTTTTCCCCTTGAAAGTGGAATCTTGTCAGACTTCTCAGACGATCAAAAGAGAGAGAACATAGGAAGGCATGTTTTCCGGTCTCCAACAAGTATGAAGTATGATGATGATGAGTGCACTTGCCATTCCCTTAGCTTCATCTTCAGGCTGCCTGTCCTGCCAGCTCCCAGCTCCACTGTCACCTCCTCCGAGAAGCCTCCATGACACCTAGATCTGTGGCCGGCTGCCCCCGCCACCCGAATTCCAACCTCCTACTTTTAGTCAGGACACTTCTCACCTCTGCAATGGCTTCTTGCATATTGATGACTTACTGTCCTCCTCACACTAGACTAAAAGCTCCTTGAGGGCAGAGCCCTCATCTTGCATTCCCCAGGCCTTTAACAAGGCATGGGAGGTGGTGGACACTCAACATTTTGGTGAGTCAGAAGAGCAGTGGTTTAAAGCACAGATTTAGGAGGAGGACTACGGGGATCTGAATCCTAGCTTTTCAATTTACTAGTCAGGTGACAACAGGCTGGTTATTTAACTTCTCTATGCCTCACGTTCACCCTCTGTAAAATGGAGATTTCTGATAACATAAACTCTACAAAAATGTTAATACATATAAAGTACCTAGAACAGCGCCTGGGACAAAGTCAGTCTTACCTAAGGGCAGTTTTCTACTCTTCAATGGGTAAATAAAGTGTCACTACATTAATAGTGAGGACACGTGACCCTGTAAGTGTATAAGATATGCTCTGTTGCTTTCGGTTCGACAGTAAAAATACACATTCTTTTGGTAAAACTCGTTGCTACGCTCGGCCGCGCCGCATCACCCACCTGGCTCGCCACCACTCAGCGGAAGGGGAGGTGCGATCCCTAATTCCGACAGAGTCCCCAGTCACCCACAGGTGGCACTGCGCGGGGTTCTCTCGGGCCGGCGGTGTCCGCGTCCTCGCGGGGCGGCTCTCCGGGGAAAGAGCCAAGGAGAACACCAAGGACGCTCCTGCGACGTCCTGGAAACTCCGGCTGAGTCGCCGGAGCCGGGACGCGCGTCCGACCCACTCCCGCCTCCCGTCTGAGAACCGCAGCGCTGCCGTGGAAACCGGTCGCTGCCGGCCTCGGTGAGCGGGGGCGGAGCGATCGGGGCCGGGGCGGGGCCGGGAGTGCGGGGGCGGGGCCGGCGGCGCCAGGCTCGGGGCTCGGGACTCGGCGGCGCCCGAGTGTCACCGTCTCCACGGCTCCGCGCGGCCGGTGCGCTCCAGCCAGGTAAGGGCGCCGCGGGCCGGCCGGGGTAGCTCCGGGACGGCTCCGGGACTGCGCCACTCCGGGCGGGAAAGGGTCAAGGACCGGGATGCGCGCGGCGAGAGTAGGCTTCCACAAGCCCAGAGACTGACCCTCGTGGAACGAGGAAGGGTTTTCTTCCCTCCGCGCCGCCGGGAGCGCGAGCGCGCCACGCCAGGTGAGGACCCCTGTCTCCTGCGGTTCAGGAAGGGACAGGTGCGCGTCCCGGCGTAGCCGCGCCTTCCGGCGGCCGCCGCCGCCTCTCCGCCTCCTGAGCTCCGGCGCTGGCCTCTTCCGAGGAGCACCCGCCCCTTTTCCCCTTGGGCCCAGGCTGCCCGGCGGCAAGTTCAGCATTGGGTTCACTTCCAGCCGCGTCGCGGGGCTGATTCCCCTTGTCTGTTTGGGCGCCAACGCAGTGTTGATTGAAAGTTGGCAGAATCCACAGAGACTTTTCACAGTTGGAAATGTCCAAGTGCCTCACCCCACCAGCCTCACATTTTTTACCTGGGAAGTTGTGTTTGAGTCTTGAAAACAGGGGTTCGGTGAATACATATACTGGAAAAAGCTAAGGTCTTGACTCGGGAGTGTGCGCTTTCCCGCGGATCCTGAATTTTCCTTTTGATTTGATTTGTTTAGTTTTCATGGAAGAATAACACGTTGCTGTGTATCAGGTTCGTAAACAGTCTGATCTATTGCCATTCTTTGGAAACTGGAATATTTGATTAGAAAGGTAGATCTGAATGTTACGTTGGAACAAAAGGATGGCTCGTGGCTAAGTGGGTTTGAAACATATCCAAAATAGTTAACTGTTTTGAGCATATACCCTGTGTTTTTCCAGCGAGTGCCCATTTTTCCTCTTAGGAAATTTCTGAGAATCTACTCTCTTCTAGATAATTCTCCACTGAAGATCTGTAGAGGGAGAGTTAACCCCAAGAAACCAGTGGGTTTACCAAATAAGTTCAGGATTCAGCAGGTTAGTTTGTGATGCTGGTAGCTCAGTTGGCAAGAATCACACGTAGTATGGAGTGTCATGATTTATAAGGAAAAAAAGTGTGTGTAATTTTCTCATTTTATATTTGAAAATATTTTTTAGTTTAGGTACGTTTTCATAGTTTAGGAAAGACCTGTACTTTCCCAACAATCCAGTCTGCTCATTGTATTCTCTTGCCAGCTCAGGATGCTGACGGCCTTGTGTTTATGGTTTATGTTAATGATTTTGATGCTTCCCACAGGGTGTGTACATTTTGGTTTGTAGAACCGTACAGGACGAGTGTTGGAAACATGCGAATTGGTGCAGTGCTCTAGTTGGCAACACCTTTGCCCCACATAGGTCCTTGAACTAGAATTTTCACGTCTTCCCAAAAAGGAAATAAATAGAATATTAATATATGTTCTAGCACTGTCAACCTGTTTACCTACTTATTCTGTATCAAGATAGTCATCATGTTTTCTTAGCAGCTAGATACTTAAGGTCAGGGGCTATGTCTTATTAAATCATAGTAGAGCTCAGAGAATGGTGACCTTTGCTTCCCAAGTTGACCTTGACAGGGTGGCTGATGGGGTTTTAGGCAGTGTCTGGCCATTTTTTGCTTGGAGGAGAATTGCTGGTCTTCCTTTCTGTATACAGAGTGCTGGGAGCCTGGGCCTTGGGCCTCCAAGCACACCTCTGCCTACAGGTTCCTCCATGTTGACTCGGTTGGTGCCACCCTTCCCCACCCCAGCTCTTCCAGTTCCTGGGCTTCCACCCTACTCCACCCGTCCTGGGTTCCCACCCTAGGGAGAATCATCTTACTGTTCAGGGCAGAGAAACTTGGTCTACATAGCTGGCAGGGCTGTTGACCCTCAACCTGGTGCATGATGCTCAGTAAATACCTGTCGATGGTGCTGTCACTTGTTTCAGAGCCCCTACTATGCTCTCTTTCTATCTAGTCTACACAGGCAAAGTGGAGTAATTGAAGCTGAACCCAGATAAACTGCTTTGGGGGCCAGCGGCCTTGTTGGATTGGGGTCATAAATTGGGCATTGGAGTCTGTTAGAAAGGAGTGAAATTGGTCCAGCGTTACTGGCAGTTCTAAAATTACCCTGTCCCATGTGATTATGCCAGGAGAATAGCTTTGTTGGAAAGGACCCCAGAGGAGAGAGGCTTAGGAGTTGCCTCCACCTCCGAACTGGCCACCTGGGCTTGCTTTTTCGTCTCTGTCCTAGCTCAACCAGTCCTGCCTTGGATTGGATTATACCTATTAATTTTCCCATTGCATTGTACTGTGCAGAGCTCAGGTGACCACCGTTCCTGGGGTCTGGATATAGAAAAATGACATTTCCTTTTGTTTAGGGGAAACAAGGGTGGAATTTTCCCAAATTGTTATTGGGGAAACAAAGCAAAAGCAAACAAAAAAGAGGGTTGTAGAAGCCAATTTTTTTTGTTTTTTTTTTCAGTTTTAAACTTTTAATACAAGTTACATTTCTTCCTCTCCAGAAACAAGCACTTGTGATTCTTTGAGCTGATTATTTTGGTATTTATTGCCTGTGATTGATACTTCTTGCATTTTTCAGTTTGAAGCATTATCTGTTGACTTTCCATTGTGGAAAATGATGACCTGGCTCTTTTTCCCTCTAACTAATCCCCAACATAACCACAACTTCCCTATTTTCCCATCTGTGCAATAGCTAAACAGTAATTTTGGTTAATTGCTTTGTTGCTCACTTGTTTAGTTTTTAATATACTCATCATTAATTCAACCCAAAACTCTTGGCCAGTTTTCTACATCTTCCGTCAGATGCATTAGGTATTCAGTCAATTTCATTTTCTCGAAGAAGCTTCCCTGAGTCTCCTGGGTTGCTCTAGCCTGGACTGATTGCCGTCTCTGCATGGGACACAGATGCCACCCTGAGGACCTCCTGTTGTCATCCCTCTGGGGATCCCCATCATTTCTCTCCTGCACTGGATCTCCTGTTACCTCTAGCACATGTCTTTATCTTGTAGACTCCCTCGTTTTGATTTATCACATCCTCAAGGAGCTTTCAGGTAATGAATGCACAGGATGTCTTTTTTTTTTTCTGTTCATTGTGTCTATTCATATTTTGTCTATTCATCTTACAAAAAATGCTTGAAAATACCTCTTTTCCATGGACAATTAATAGTTTGTCTGAGTATAGACTTCTAGGATGGAACCCTTGAAGCATTGTTCCACCATTTTCTAGCTTGTGGTTTGCTGTTGAGAAATTCAGAATTGTTCTGATTCCTTAATTTTTGCCTGTAACCTGTCTACGTATTACAAACCTGTTCTTTCTGGAGGTTTATAGAATTTTCTCTTGCCCTTCATGATCCTGGAATTTTCATGATGTGCTGTGTTCTGGGTCTGGTTTCATCCATTGTGCTGCGTTCTTTAAATCTGGAAATCTCTCTCTCCCTCAGTTTTGGAAATTTTCTTGCGTTATCTCATTGATAACTTCTTCCTCTCTACTTTCTGTCATGTCTCTTTTAGAAACTGTTACTGTTATTGTTCAGATGCTAGATATTTTTGGCTGGATATTAGGTATTTTCTTACCTTTTCTTTACTAATATCCATCTTTTATTTCTTGGTTCTACTTTTGGGGGGATTTTTTCAATATCATCGTCTACTCCTTCTACTAAGGTTTTCACGAGTCTAATCATATTTTAAATATTTAAAATTAAAAGTCCTTTTTGTTCTCAGAATATGTATACCTACGTATTTGTGGCAAAATCTCTCTTTAGCCCTGGCTTGAGTAGTATATGGCTTACTGGTCAATTCCCTTTGTCTAGAGGGACTCATTCTGTCACCTTGGCCTCTGAATGTTTTACCTTTCAGTGAAGCTCAGTTTCTCTAAGTCTAATGTTTTCATCTGAAAGGTGGACCTGATGTCATTAGCAGCCAAGTTATCATTATTTCCTTCTGGAGGCCAGTTTATCACACAATTGCCTTACCAGCAGAACATCCTCTCTTCCCATTTCAAAGCTCATGCCTTTCTTGGAATGTGCACCAAGTTCCTGTTTCTGGCTGGGCTGAGCAGAGATGACTGAACTACCCTGCTCCTCGTGGATGATCACAACTTTCCCAACCCTGTTTAACCGGTTAAGAGTCATTCCTCAGGCTCCCTTAATGCAGTGAGATCTTCCAGCCTTGTCTCTTGGTAGCTTGGCATCGATGTGACTTATGCTTATACACAAAGTAATGATGACAAGAGTCAGCTTCCACTGAAGCAGGAAGAGTATTGTTCCCAAACCATCTTACCTGTGCAGAAGCAGCAGAGCTCTATACTCCCACAGTGGCGGCTGTGCATTGGAAATACAGAAAACACGAGTGCTGGCAGTTGCTCCAGTGGAGCAGGTACAGTGGTGACTTGCTTTCTGAAGGATGGCAATGAAGAATAAGGTGGTTAGAAAACACTTACTCAGCAGGAACCCACTTGGTACCATTACGATCGAAAGCTCGCCCAGTGGAAATACCTGCAATGCTCATTCCTCTCTGTGCTTCCACTGGCGTCCTTCCCTTTCCTAAACAGAACCTTTGGAGCCATTGCAACCTCTTTTTCCCTCTTTCCCTTTTTCTGAAACAGTGTAGTTTTTCTCTCATGTGCTATGTGATTAACAGAAGTTCTTTCTGTCTTCTGGACAGAAGAGCTGGATTGTGAGCTCTCCTAGGGAAGAGCACATGCCTGGTAAATACC